CTGCAACCTCTTTTAATATCGAAAAAAGATGATAAATTTCCCCCTTGATTTATTGCAGACTTTGCGTTTGTATGAAAGACTTTTACCCATTTTTTTATGCCATTGCCAAATTTAAAATAATCAAGAACTTTTTCAATAAATTTCCAGGACACTGAGTCGAAAGCCTTTTCAAAATCTATAATTAACAACATTCCTGGTATATTATTTTCATCTGTATATTGCATGACATCATAAATTAACCTAGTATTCTCCCCAACATAACGACCCGAAATAAAACCTGTTTGATCTGTGTTTATTATACTATTTAAGACTGTTTTTATTCTCCCTGCTATTGACCCCGATGCAATTTTATATATAATATTCAGAAGAGAAATTGGTCGCCAATTTTTTAGAAACTGTCTTGGTTTATCCCCTTTAGGTATACATGTTATTATTCCCTGTCTTTGTGTAACTGACAATTGTCCATTAGCGTAACCAAAATTGATTGATCTCACTATAAAGTTATTCAGCTGTTTCCAGAAACATTTTAAAAATTCAACCGTAAAACCATCAGAACCAGGGCTTTTCCCATTTTTCATATTATTTAATGTATGTGATGCTTCTTTAAGAGTTATAATGCCCTCTAAACTATCAGATTCTATATTATTCAGTTTAGGAACATGAAAGTCATGTAAAAAGTTGTCTAAATTAACATCATCTATATTATCATCATTGGTATATAAAGACTCATAAAATAATTTAACTTCTTTAAGTATCTCATTTTGATTAGTTATTATATCCCCATTTTCTTTTTCTATTTTTGGAATTATTTTTGAGGTATAATTTCTGTTTTCGAGATTAAAAAAGTAGTTAGTTGGCTTTTCTCCCTCTTCAACCCATTTAGCTTTAGATCTAATAATGCTACCTCTTAGTTTATGTAATCTTATATTTTCTAATTCTTGTTTTTTCTCCTTTAATTTATCAAAATCAATATTTTCAACCGATTCTAAATGTTTTATAATATCTTTTAAATTGTTTTCTAAATGGTTCTGTTGTTTTTTCTTATGTGAAGCATATGAAATAGTTTTCCCTCTAATTTCTATTAATAACGTTTCAAAAAACAGCTGATCATCTATAACGAATTGGATCTCAGAGTCAAGAATATTGGATATATTGTGTGGATTATACACTGGAAGAGCATATTGGGTTTTAACGTCTAAAAAAATTTTGTTTACAATTTCAAGATAGTCTAAATCATGCAATAAAGAATTGTTAAACTTCCATAGTCCTTTCCCCTTAAATTCATTAAATTTTAATATAATAAATGGTATAGAATGGTCAGATCTGTATCCTGGCTCAATATCAGTTTTATTTACACTAGGTAGTAAGTTTTCAGAAATGAGAAAAAAATCTAGGCGGGCTTGTTTAATTGGCAGTACATCTTGGGATAGCAGAGTGTCATGTATAAAAAGTAGGTCACTGTGATCTATGGTTTAACCTTTGACTTCAACCTATGAACAATTTTGTCTTGTGCATATCTTCTATACATGCAATTTCACCTGGAGTATCCAGATCTAGTATGCAAGTACATCCTAGGATTGTCAAGTACAAAAAGTATGTCACTGTGACCTACATCCTGAGATAGGTGTACAGCTCAGTAATAATAGAAATCATTACCAACTGGGGACTATGGATTGCCTTGTTTACTATAAAAAGAAAACTTGTACCTAGTTATTACTTTCTCTGCTTGATTGAATATGATATCCCAATACCCGAAAAGTAGCACAGTCTTTATCTTATTTTCACTTATTGATGTATTCATGTCAGGCCTGTATATATCTGTATTACTAAAATTAATTAGGTCACCTGAGATAAAGTCTCAAGTGACCTCTTGCGATCGCCTTTTGTCTGGCGGCGGCGTCCAGCGTCCGTCTTGCGTCCGTAAACAATTTACATTATCAACTTCTTCTCCAAAACCCCTAAACAATTTCAATGAAAATTTGCAGAAACCTTCCATGGCCAATGATCAACAAAAAAAGTGGCCGGTTTGGTCCCCAGCCCCCAGGGGCCTGAGGGGCAGGGCCAAAAAGGGTCAAATTGACTAAAATTTCAAAAATCTTCCTCTCAAGACCCAGATATGGTAGAATCGAATACTTTTCAGAGATGGAAGAGTCTTAAGGTGCTTTACCAAAATTGTGAATTTCATGACCCTTGGGTCTTACGTTTCCCCTTGGGGAGGGGGTAAACTTTACTATAGTTTATATAGGGAAATCACATTTTGGACTAGCATTTGTTTAATTTCCATGGAAATAATTCAATTTGGGTTATCATTATCAGTATTGGGTAGCAGTTTGATGGTATGAACATATGAGCCCTGACTGACCCCCCGGGGCTGATGGGAGGGGCAAAAAAGGGTTGAATTGACTGAAATTTCAAAAATCTTCTTCTCAAGACCCAGATGGTAGAATCAAACACTCTTCATAGATGGAAGGGTCTTAAGGTTTATGACCCTAGGGTCTCAAGTTTACCCCCTCAGGCAGGAGGGGGGATTTATTATGGTTTATAATGGCAAATACTTGGAAATGGATTTGGGCATATTTATTTCCAATCACAGCAACACATTTGATTCATATTGGTCTAGGGGAAATAACCCTGTAAGCTCAAGATTTTACGGCCAGAATTGATCAAGGGGACTTTTTGCAGTGATTATGGCCATCTTACTAACTTCAAAACTCCCTTAAACACTTGTGAAATACACAGAATTTAATAGTTGTCCTCGAATACACGATCAATTCAATTTTAATCAGAAGCCACCTCATTACAGCAATATATTTCAATGAGTGGCTTTTTCTTAATTTCTTTATAGATCACTTAATTGGTGTCAATAAAACAATGTTAAATAAACTAGTTACTATTAATTACTCATATGTTTGTCAACATAGGCCTTGATATCTAT